TCTTACAGGTCCCCTTTATGAACTGAAAGGCCACAGTAAGGTCTCCCCAGAGCCTTCTCCTCTTGAGGCTGAACAATCCCAACACTCTTGACTGTAGGAGAGGTGACCCAGGCAGGAACATGAAGATTCAGGCCCTGGGGCTTAGAGCTAAGTGCTGTTCCCCAAGGCTACAACTGATGCACAGGCTCAGGCACATCCAAAGCCACTGGTCCTGCTGCAGGCTTTGCAGTCCCCCGAGGCCATGCTGGTTACGGGCACCTTAGGCTTGAGGGAATAAAAGCACTTTTTCATCTCTTTAAATCTGCCACCCTTTTGCTTCCAGGAGGGAGACAGGAGCAGAGCAGTAGCAGGCAGCACAGCTGAACCAGCCAGTTGCATCTTGTACAATAGCATAGACCAGGTGTTTTCCCAGCTCCACTTGTGTCACCAGCTTCCTTACCATGGGATACTGCAGCAAACAGCACAGTTTGACACCAGTCCTGTTCTCCACAAGAACACAGGGTCTTGACCTCTTGCTGCTGTCCTGGACGCAGCACCTGGGAAGGGGCAGGCTTGCTGCTGCCCATGCAGAGGCCACGCTTGCCAAAAGAGCCCCTGACCCAAGCCACAGGAACCATCACAGCTCCTGCAGAGATGTTTTCCCCAGGTCTTCTTCACAGGAAGCATGACAGTGTGTGCACAAGTTCTCCTGTAGCCACAAAAGAGCCTTAGAAGCTGCAATTCCAGGCCAGGTTGTACAGGGATTTAAGAAACCTCATCTGGGGGAAGCTGTCCCTTGGCCATGGCAGGGGTGTTGGAACTAGATGATCTTTAAGGTCACTTCTGATCCAAACCATTCCGTAATTCTACGACTTCCAGGATGATCCTTATGTTAAAGCCAGGCACTACAGTTAAAAACAGACCACCTTTGCCAGCGTTTCACAGAAAAGGAAGCAGGGATTGCACAAGCCAAGACTCAGAGCAGCAAACCAGATTTAATTCAACAGCAACCAGGCCTAATCCAGGCTGAAAGACAGTGTGCAGGTAGGTAGCTGTAGTCACCATGGTAGATTTCTATTGCAAAACTGGGAATGTATTTTTAGGTTTGGGCCTGGAAAGTGTCTCTTCAGAAAGAGATCACACATGCCACAGCATGGTCAGTGTGGGATTTGCAGAGCACCTTCAAGTGCAGGAGGACTGCTAGGGTGACTTCATCACGCCATTAAACCTTTCTGAATGCCAGCCTCGTCCTTGCAGGTAGAACACGCCTAGCACAGATGGGACTAGAAAAACTCATCCCCAGCCTGCACCACGCATCTCGGAGTCACACCATGTGCTCGAGGTGTTGCTTGAGCCCAGCGGCTGAGTCAGCGAAAGGAACAGATCACTCCATGGGTGCTGGGCTGCCCACCTTCCCAGGGAAAGCCCCCAGCAACCTCCCACCAACATGCTCCTGCCCTGCTGTGAGTCAACACACCAAGCCGCCCCACTTCTGCTTTGGAAAAAAGAAAAACGGGCTTCCTCAGCCAGCTGCTGTGCCAGGCTGCTGCCTTTTAGCTGTGTTAAACCCACACTTTCCTACAGCCGAACAGCAAATGAGTTCATTAAGTCACCTGCATTACACAGCACACCAAGAACTGGGCAGAAGAGAGCAGCCCTCCCCAAACCAACGGCAGAAAGCCAGCTGCCCATTTCCAGATGCACTCCTGTCCATCTTCGCAGAAGTTTATGGCTAGAGAAGGGTCTACACTTCACCTCGGCTCCACATACCTGTGGTGATCTCCCAGGGAACAGCCCTGTCCCATCTGCTGGTTGCATCATCCACGCCTTTTTCCATCTGAACAATCCTTTGAAAATAGGTTGAGGCCACAGATCTCATCTGGGGCTGTCTTTTGCAGGTACAAGGGACTGATTTAGGCTGCAAGTGGAGCTGTAATAGTCTCAAAGCCAGCACAGGGGAACCTCTTGCACTTCTCCCAGCTCCCAAACTTGTTCAGAAGCAAAAGCCTTAAAATTCAGTGTGCTTCAGTCAGCTGGTTGAGTCAAAGGGATCATTTTACTTTTAATGTGACATTCATTTTACAGTTTACAGAGTACAAGACCTTCTATTTAAATTGTTTATTAAACAACAGAAGCCCGGGGGAAGTCAAATAGGGAACCACAGACAAACCTACTGCTTTTAGTTGTCTCGAAGTTGTAAGACAATTTTCCCTGTAACTACTGGACCTCTGCTATCCTCCTTTTGACAGTGGGGTTTCCACATCTCCAGCATTTGAATGCCCATGTTCTTCCCTTTTAAAAACGGGATCGACAAGCCCAACCTGGTTTAAGAAAAGGACACAACAGGCAGAGAGCATGGGGCAGGCTCTGAAGGATTATCTTCACAAAAAACTACCCAGAGAAACAGCCACTTCTGCTTAGACTACACCACCTTTCACAGGCTCTTTTTGGTTTTTTGGTAGCAGGGCAGGGGTAGCAGAGTAGTACAATGAAAGCATAATACCCTCTTAGTAGGGTAAAGCTTGAGCAATGGTTGTGTGCTGGGCATGAATTTCTCTTCTTCCCCTCTACAGCCAGATGTGCCTGTACCCCACTGCTCTGCTGGCTGCACCCCAGCATCCAGCTGTGCCTCCCACACAGGGTGAGTACACTGCTTTCCATACCTCTGCTATCATCCAGTTCTCAATCTGTTTTCACTGTCTGGCTTTGTATTACTCATACTGCTCCGCAGCTTTCATCTTGTCCTTTTCTGATTTCTCACATCCCCATAGTCAACAAGATAAGACCAGAGAAGCACCATCAACTTGGTTTGTGGAAGATGGAATCAAGAGCTCTTGAAAATGTAAAAAGAGCCCAGCCATTTAGCTAAAGTTTTTGCCTACATTTCATTACTTGTAATTACTTGGAGAAGATATCATTTAACACTGTCTTCTGAACAACGATCTCACCTTTGGTAGAGTTAAATACAAAACACACTGAGAGGTCACATCTGAAAGGAGACTTTCAAATCCATGACCAGGATAACTCACAAACACTTTGCAGTTGCTTTTTTCTGCGACCTTAATCCACATGTGCAGAACAGACACCTTATGTGGCGGATGGCAGAAGGGCCATCTCCAGCCACCTTTCCCATCTCTCGTAAACAAAGCACCAGACGACCCCAGAATTTCCATTTTTGAAAAGTGTTTACTCACATAGTTTGAATAAATTAATTTGCAAATAAAAATTAAACTACAGTATACTATAGTTGGAATAAAATGATTAGAACAACTACAATACAGGGATTTCTTGCTGCATAAGTTTCATTACTTAATGCATATAATCTGGAAAATATCAAAATTGGTTCTATTTCTATGGAAAGGGAGTAACAGCAGTTCCTTGTACATGACAGCTAACTGAACTTATAATACAGGTTTCCTGACACATGCATTTCCTGAGTGAACCAAACAATATATATCATCTCTTTTTAAAAATGGAGAAACAATGGACAGTCAAAGTAAATAATTCATGACATCTAAGCAATATAGGTCTCTCTTTAAACCAAGAAAATTTTAGAACAGCTTTGAAAGGAGAAAATTAAAGCTATGCTATAAAGTACAGAAATTTGCTACTGCCAATTATACAGTACGTATTTTGAAAAAAAAAACCAAAAATACAACCCAAGTATGAAGCTGGCCAAAAATGCTCAACTCAATCCTAAGAAGGTCAGGTTGTGTATTTGCCACGAAGCGCAGTGGGTTAGCAGCGAAGCTGGATGGAGTGCCCCGGCCTTTGCTGGTGGATATGGAGGGAAGGGAGAGCAGAGACACGGCTAACTAGAGCCCACGGCAGCACCAGCAGGTCTTACACAAGCACCCTGCACCCAGCCTGTGAGCCCCGGCCAGCCCCACCTCAAGCTCTCCCCTTGCAGACTGCCTGTGGTGACAAGTGGCACAAGGATGCTGGGATGCAGGGACGCATCCCCTGGGTACCAGCTGTCAACTGCTGTTCCACGTGGGGCCTAGATGAGTATTTGCATCTCGTGGTGGGGTCCAGATCAAGTGAAGCCCACGGCTCCCACACGCAGGAGAAAGGCAGAACATGCGATGGACACAACCTGGGACTCTGGCCCAATCACAGACTGCTCGCTGCTCCCCACATGGGCATGTCCACCTCTCCCCACAGCCCCTGCCCCAAAGAGCAAGGAACAAAACGGGCCTCGTCTGTCAGGTTTGTTCACGTTCAGCATCGGAAAAACCCTCACAAACGTCACTAGCGCTAAATAAAGAGATGTGTTAGCATGAAGGGAGAAAAAAAATCCTTAATCTAGACTAAGTTGCATATTCCAAGAGTCTGGTAAATATTCTCCTCATAACCAGATCTTAAGTACAGTCCTACCAAAAAAGACATTTTAAGGAGTCCTCCTTAGCTACCTTCCGACACAGCTAAAGCACACCTTTATGCCATCATAATTTGCATTAGCTTTGTTTAAAAAGCATTTTAACTATTCTAAGAACTCAGTATTTTAGATTAAAAAAGATTTTCCTACCATTTCCATCTCATGTTCTTCTCTGTCCGGAACTACTCTACACATCCAGTTCTGGATGGAACACACTATGACCATGCTACTTTCTAAACATTCTACCTATTTTCAATAATAAAGATAAATAGAAAAGAGTTAATATACACATTGTATTTTACAATGTTTGCATCCAAGCTGTAAACTAATGTTCTTTGAACTATTTACCCTCCATATACAAAAAGAATGAAATAACTTTTGAACACTGTGGGCATGGGATTCAAAAGCATTAAGCAGAAGGCATCGAAGTTCACTCTACAACACGTCCTTCACCTCTTCAAAAGTAATTAAGGAAAAAAAATGCAGTTCTCCCCCTTCTCTCCCCAGTTTCTTCCATTTCCAGACTTTTCTCTGTAGAGAGGGATTTAGCTGCTGTAACAACCCTCCCCCCCATTCTTCACCTAAATGCAAACCAGCAAAACCCAGAGAATACGAAAAACGGTTGGTTTAAAAATCAGAATCGCTTAGCTTATCCATTTACTGCAGTCCTCGGCAGCGCGGGTTAGTCGAGAGGTCCTTGGAAAATGAGTCTGATGTAACCTTGCTCACCAGCCAGCTGATGCGCACAGAACGGACAGGCTGCGTGAAAAGTATGAGTACCGTGAGGAAGAGGAATTTGGGACCAATAGGCAGTTGTCTTTTCAGAGCACACGTGTCCACAGGGGCTGAAGGCGTGGGTCGGAGGTCCCGCGTCCACGTAAAACCCCGCTTCACAGCCGAGCCACAGGGGCACGTAGGGGCCCACGGAGCGGCACATGGGACACTCGCGATCCTTGCCGTCCCTCTCCTCCTTGTTGCCCCAGTTGTGGTAGCCGTGGACGTGGCCGCAGTTCAGATACACCCACGGCTGCTTTTCGTCCACAACGTCTTTCCTCTTCATGCTGGGGAACGCCAAGGTGTTGAACCCCACGGGGCACTGGGGCCGCGCCGCGTTGATCTCCTGCCTCAGCGCCTCCAGGTGCTTGAGGGTGGGAGTGCGGGCGAGCCCCTCCGCCGTGCGCCACAGCAGCGTCGCTCCGCACAGGTCGATCAGGGACCCGTCCTGCAGCTGGTTCGTTTCGTTCTCGACCTTGCAGAGGACAAAGAAAAAGAGGGGTGTCACCCAGGGTTACCTCAAGAGTCACGTAATGTACTTTCCTAACACAAATCTCCCTGGAGGATCCAGACAAAAAGTTTCAAGCAACTCCTTACTGTCCTAATACAAGATACTCCTGGGGAGCCCAATGACAGCTTCTCTCCCCCTCTCCTCCTTTTTTCTTAAAAAAAAAATTCTTAGGAAGACATTCATGTGTACATTAAAAAAAAATAAGGTGTGAAAAAGCTCCTCTCCAACTTTAGCTTCTCTCAACTCCATCCCTACAGCACTCCCAACTACATTACATGAAGTGCATCAAGAAGGAATGGCACAAGACAAGTCTTGTTTGGTCCTCTGTGACATTTTGGACTGTTTTCTTCACTTGCAACTTTTACGCATGGCTTTCCTCTCTCTCAAATACTCAGCTGTTGGCATTCCTCCCTACTAAACGCATCACTTTAAGTGTTCATGTAGCATTTCTTTTTGCTAAGAGATCCCCAAGTCACACCAAACCAAATCATCTCCTCGAAATGTCATCAATGCTTTGGAAACAAGAGGAAAACTTAGAATGCCCAAAGTGGAAATGGACACCATAGGCGTGTATCAACAAAATGATAATTATTCTTTATTATTCTATAAAAAAAAAATAGTAGGAAAACCTTAAAAGCATAAACTCAGAAGGGACAATCTGGAAAACACTAAGATGGGTGCATGACTACGACAGCTTACACAAGAGCGCAGAAGGCTGGCAATTCAATTTAGGAGAGCAGCCTAGATCTGCAATTAAGTCCTAGTTTGCAGATAAACTGTCAATTATTCAGGTTGAGCAAGACACTTCATGTATGAAGTCAGAAACGTAAGAAGTCTGTGTAACTAATTAGAGGTGACATCTGCTCTGAGTGAGGCAGATTCCAGCCTCTGTTTATGCCCAAAGTTTTACCACTTACGGTTGTACCCATTTTAAACAGGCTGCATAAACCACTGGTCACTACTCTTACCATTTTTCCCCTCTGCTGAGCTGATCTGGTTTCACGGAGGCTGAACACATTCCCACACACAGATATCTCTCTCCACACCCCTGGCTTGGAGTCTTCTGTAAATCCATTACGAGGATGCATAACGAGAACTCCATTTGTGGTTAGTCCATCCATCTGCCCATCTGATGTCTTCCACTTCGCAGCCTTCTCCTAGGAGAAATTACATGAAAACTTTTAGTTTGGCCAAAATGGGGCTACAAATTAGTTTAAAAGTAAGTGTGTGTTGAACTCAGAGGAAAAAAAACCACACCCCCTTACCCCAAGAAAGATGTTTTTTGAGGAGTCAAATCCTGCAGCATATATTCTTGCTGTAAAAGGAGGGTTTCGTTCACATATGATTCTGCAGGCAAACCTTGATATAGTGCTCTGCACAGACTGTGTATCTGAATTACTCTGACTTCCAGGGACTGTATCTGTCACGACAAAGTCTATAGGACTCTCCGTTGACCGACCAATCTGGAAAGGGATTAAACAACCAAAAAAAAACCTGTTTAGAAGTTTGCCTTTGGGTCTAGGAACACTCAAACTCAAAACATCTAGAAGCGATTGAGAAAAAATCATGGCATTCCACTTTGTAGCATTCCCCTCCAACAATCTAAATATAGATTTCTAAAGCCGAATCTGAATTTAGGAGTTACTCCACCTCCATGTGACCAAAGTTATCTGAATGCTGAGCACAGCCAACTGAAGGAAAGGGAAATAAAATGATGTAATTAAGTCAATTCTGAGATTATTTCCCATTGAAGGCCTTCTCATCAAAAAGGTTACACTCAGATCAGCTGGACCAGCTACAGCAGCAACAGAAGCAGTAGGAAACAGCAGTTACATGGAAGAAAAATGATTTTCAGTCACTTGGCATGCCCAGAATGTTCTGAACAACACCAGATTAGGGGGAGGTGTAGATGTAGGAAAATCAGATTGTGAGCTGACTCTCCAGCTCTGGTGGGGCACTGAGGAGCAGCAAATCTGTCAGGAAAGGCCAGGTACAAGATGACTGTGGTGGGAAGGGAACATGTACAGAGCAATAAGAAAACAAAATCTGACTACAATCAGATTTTTCTGGTAGCTGTGCCTTCTCTTCTGGTTGCACAGAACAAAGTTTTGCAGTCCCACATCACTTTGATAGAACTTCATGGGTTTCGCTGTTTTTTCAGTCAACTCGTCTTTTTCCTTACAAAGCACGAAGAGAAGTTATCTCCCTTTCCCAAACATCCATGTAGCCAGGCTTAAAGCCCACTTACACACCACTACCTTTCACTCACTTCCAAAACTCTCAGCCTTTTGTAAAATAGCTGGTTACATGAAGACTGGTTAACTGCTGGGCAGAAGACCCAAAAGCCTGAGGTGCTTTTAGGTGAATGTTGGAGAGCTTTCATGAGACTGAAACTGCTTTGTCAGAATGTATTTTTCTACTGCTTCTTAGGCAGGGTAGCCCATCAGCACACAGGGATTGCCACGGGCAATTTTAAAGCAGCATACATGCCACAGCACGTCCGAAGAGAGAACACTTAAACAATAGCTTATGCTGCAGTTAGCTGGTTACAGCCCTTTTGCTCTGCTGCAGGTATTTGTAGTTACACAGCAGCTTCCTCCACCACTTACCCACACCTCCCACCTCCTTAGATCCTGCAGTGGCGTCACAGCCAAACGCTGTGACAGCAAAACTCCTTCCCATAAATTAGCAGCAACAACAACAACAAAAATCGACGCAAGATGAAGTGCAGGAATCGGAATGAACAAAGCACGTAAAGAAAAACCCCTGAAACAAAACCCTTCCTTTTGAGAAAAACAGGAAACAATTATGAGATATGAGAGCACACCACAGCTGCAAATGCGTTTGTGGTTCCTCCTCATACATACAGGAACTGCAGCAAAGCTGCTCTGAACTGCCAGCACATCAGAATTAGGTCTCCTCTCTCCAAATTTCCCAGCATTTTAAATTATTTCTGGGTTTGCTTAAAGGAGTTAGGGGTATTTTTCATATTAGTTGTGTCAAAAGCTTTCCTGTTTTCACATGATATTTCTTCCACCCTGTCTCCCACTGGCTGATCCAAATCCCTTTGCAAATGCTAGAAGCAAAGTTCCAAGTGCTTAAAGAGAGCTGTGCACTTTATTCTTTGTTTTGTAAGGAAGGACTAGTAGACAGGCTATGTGACTTGCAGATTGACAATCACAGGCAAAACCATAATCCTGTGCATTAGCCACAAAGAAACCCAACAAAACAACCAACTTTCACCTCTGACCAAACCTAAAAGTGATGCACAGCTACACAGCCCTGTTCATGTGATGGCCTTGGGAACAAACAGAATGAAGTGACTCTGAATAGTAAAGTGCAGAAAGTGGCATGTACAAACTTCTGGGTCTGAGGGAAGAAGCCTGTTGAGAAGAAGTCTTGTTAGAAACTACCAGAGGTGAGAATACATTGCTGTATCATATTTGCTTCACATACCTGGAACATGTCAGTGTTGCTGTCATGTGTATATTCAACTACTACTGTCTGGGCCCGAGACAAAGTGTAAGATATGCTGTGTTGGTCCTTATTACTTATTGCCTGTGGAAAGAATACCAAATATTATTGAACTGGTGAACAATACCTCTACCGAATGAATACAGCAGCAAAGCAGGCAGTATATATAACCAGGCTCTTGTTCTGCTCAATTAGTGTATTGAGGCAGATGGTTGTTAGTGACACGTCTGTAGTTAAACTTAACAAAAACCAGTCCTGGCCATTAAAAAACCTGCAGGATTGATTCAGCAACAGACCAAACTGGTCTCTTCACTGCACTCTGCAACAAAGTACATGCAACCGAGACATCGTATTAGTCATGCTCTGTGTTAAAGCAACACTGGCCTTAACAATAAAGAACAAACAACTGAGTGCAAAGGCTAAAACTTCATCTAATGCTGCATGACCTTCTCAGCCTGACCTTCTGCAACAGGAAAGTCCGGACAAAAACTTAGGGAATTCATTCTAAAAATACTATCTGAGTTCATACAAAAATCAAGTGAGGATAAGCAAGATATACAGACAAAACCAGTAACAAGTAGTGGTGGTAAACAGGGTAGAATGGAGAAACTCAGCACAGGCTGCAGAAGTTCAGTAATCTAGGTTTCAGTTTGTTACTCCCGATTTTCATTCCTTAACTACCTACTAGGAACTGAACAAACCAGCTTCATGCTTCTAAATAGCACTTACTTGAAGACCATAAAGTATTAACAAAAATAAATATTCCTTTCACAGATCGTCTATAGATGCAATTCTATTACAAGAACTTTATTTAGCAAAATACTTTTGATTTCAGAATACTTTATGCCATTCTCTGAATTTAGGAATCAATGCTCTTAAGTGTCAAGGTATTTAGGGAGTCAATCACGTAACACTACTGTGTTTAACAGCCTCATGTTGATACTGGAGATCTCTAAAGAACCACTAAGCGTTCTCAAAATCCCTTTGTTTTAGTAGAAATGCTCCATTTGTTATTGAATATAATTGTACATACACTTGAATCGCCACAGAAGCATTTAATGGTAATATCTTAGCTCTAATATATTAGTTTTGACATGAAATAAAATTCAACTTCAGAACAAAACTTGCCCTTTACAGCTTCTTGATGGGAACTCTGACACTGATTAGAAGCCCTACAAAACATGCCCTGCAAAACCCACTTGTCCTCATCCCTGGGGAACTCCTACCCACTGGATGGGGTAGAAAGTGCATGCAGGCCTTTGGCAAAGGATCATTTAAAAGTCAGCTTCACGTGAGGCAAAGTCAGCCCTAAAGCATGAGTGACTACAAAAACAGGAAGTCTCAAACAGATGTCTGTAGTGAGTCTGGAAGGTAAACAAAACAGAAAGTGCTTTATGACTAGCCTGTGCCCTCAACATTCACGTTTCAAAAATAAACATTTTTCTTTCTCGACACAGACAGGACTGGGCACCAGATTTGTTTTGCTGAACAGTTCCTTGCTAACTCTGACAGGTACCAAAAATCCTTGGATAACCATGAACCATTCTTTCACAGCCAGAACTTCATGGTTTTTGCATCATTTCACCTCAGCGTAACAGCGCTGATTTCACTGAACTCTTTAAGACAGGACCAGGAGACATCAGACTTAACTACAAACAAACTGAGCTTACCTTTGCTGCTTGAGGGGTACAGGCAATATGCACAGTGCTAGGTTTCACCCCATTTGCCTTGGGCCTTTTAAATAAAGCAAATCTACTTTTTCTTCTTCCTCTATCTCCGTTTGGGAGAGACCCATTGTACCTATGCAAAAGCACAGAAAAAGAACAAAGTCCATCTTGCTGTGTTACTTAGCTTCTCATGAGATGCAGATCCATAAGAACTTTCATTCTAAGCACAAAGTCCTCTTAATTACTATGGTATTAATAACAGATTTCCAACTACATTTATATCTGAGAATTTATAAATGCAATCCTCCCCCCTCTACTCTGCCCCACATCTGGAGTACTGTGTCCAGTTCTGGGCTCCCTAGTTCAAGAGAGACAAGGAACTACTGGAGAGGGTCCAATGGAGGGCTGCAAAGGTGATGAGGGGACTGAAGCATCTCTCTTACACTGTAAGGCTGAGAGACCTGGGGCTGTTTAGCCTGAAGAAGAGAAGACTGAGAGGGATCTTATAAATGTTTATAAATATTTAAAGGATGGGTGTCAAGAGGATGCAGCTAGATTCTTTTCAGTGGTGCCCTGTGATGGGACATGGGGCAATGGGCACAAACTGGAACACATGAAGTTCCGCCTAAACATAAGGAAAAACTTCTTTACTGTGAGAGTGATGGAGCCCTGGAACAGGCTGCCAGCAAGGGTTGTGGAGTCTCCTCCAGAGACTTTCAAAACCCGCCTGGACATGTTCTGTGCAACCTGCTCTAGGTGAACCTGCTTCAGCAGGGAGGTTGGACTAGATGGTCTCGAGGTCCTTTCCAACTCCTAGCATTCTGTGATGCTGTAATATTGAAACATGCCCAGAGAATTTCAGCATATATACACAAAGCTTGCAGGGCAAGGAATGCTGCCCAGATTAATCTCAAGGTTACTATCAACAAATGAAGAATACTCAGGTCTCAAACATGAAAACAAGTAAGGCTGTTATGTGTATCTGTAGTTTGCTCTAAATGATGTCATCATGCTGTAAGGGAAAGATTCTAAATGCTCACTAATCCTGGTGGAGAGAGAATTTTTATTGAAATAAAATCCCGCAAGAAATAGATATGCTTTCCTCTGAGCCTCCAATTTAATCCATTAGAAAGCCCTCAGACTCACTTTGAAGATGTCAACATGAACAAGTCACCCAGAAAACTCACTTTACTAAAATCTCTGTGCTTGCATATTACATTATATTGTAAGAACATAGTCAGCTACTATGTTTTATAAAGTTCCTTTTATTTTACTTGAAGTCATAGGGAACCTCTCCTCCCACATCAGCACATTATTCATCTATCTCAGCACAACCTGGAACCAACTGGGAAACCCTTCACAAGCTTTGTCACAAAATGCTTGCCTGGGAAGAACACAAGAGCTGAAAATCAGCCTGCATCTACTGAAGTGTGTAGGGCCTTACCTCCGTGCTCACACTGGCATGAAAAACGCTGCAGACTGCAGTTCAATTTCTCAATAGATCACATCACATATAACACCTGGCTGACACTGAAAGAGGCAGCCTGCCCTCCACTCTCTCCCTTACACGAGATCAGCCATCAAAGAAAAGCTGCTCAGCTCCCTAGACAGACTGCAAAAGAGGGAGTTCAAGTAGTAGGTTGTGGGACCATCCCACAGCAACCTGTCTTATCTGCTTTAAGTACACCCTGAAGTTCTGCCTTCACTCTCACTTCCAACCAAGACACAAACACTTACCCCAATACAATCAATTCACCGTATTTTACTGGTGCTTTTGATGGATGATTTTCTTGATCAGGAGAAAACATGAGCTTAGCTAATGACGACTTCTCAAATTTCAGGTCTCTGATCAAGAGTTGTGGCACACTTTTTTCATTATTTCCTGTAAAAAACAAAGATAAAATTAAGTGTAAGGGAAAATACTCAAATCCATCAATTACACAAACTCACACACCTGTCTGATACAATAGCTACACTCTTTTATGTTTTCCATATTTTGGCTTTGCCTGAAATAAAAACAATACATATAAAACCACATCAATTAAGGTTGAGTTGTCTGGCAGGACTACCAGATCACCAAAAAACCCACAAATACATTTAGAAAATTCCAGTATGGCCTTGATAAAAACATCCATAGTTGTCTTCCTTGATGATAGTTTTCAGTATAAATGGTAGCTTCATTTAGTATGTTGGCTTCAACTACCAAGAAGTAGAGCCTGATAGGCATTACATTTAAAGAGGGAAAAAAACTCCAACAAACCAAGACCAGTCCATAAGCTAAAGAGGTAGAAGTTTTCATGGAAAGCACTTCATTCGTAGTTTTCCAAGAAATTCCTGGATCTGCAGATGGAAGGAAGTTGTATGACAATTTGATCTGGAGTCAACTCTAATCAAGTCTACCACACAAGTCTGGGGGGTGCAATGTTTAATTAGAGACAGAAGTGATACAAGCAGCTGTTTGAAGGAGACCTCCTGAGGGAATTCCATGCAGTTCTCAATGAGAACAGTCTCTTGCAATGCAACTTATTGTCATACTTCTCCTTTGAGGAGCAGTTTGCACTGTAATTGTTTTACAGCTTCTCACTAGTAACATTTCCAGAGACCTGACTTACCCAACCCCTCTCTGACCTTCCCACAGAGAAAGCCTACCCAACAGAGTACTTGCCTGATGAATAAAACAGATACTAGCCTGTTTGAGGCTTTAACATAAATAAGAACATGCCCTTGCTCCTTTCAGGTAAGTTTTCACACCAACTCAAAAAGCTATTAAGCTTTTTTTAATCCTGATGCCTTCTGTGCAAATACACATTTTGGCCCTTGTAACATTTCTTCAATCCTGCCATCAACTATGATCACAACTATAATGCTGTGCCTCCTTTTTCTTCTACCCCAACCAGACTGCAGATAGCAGAAAAGATGTCACCACACAGATTTTATCTAAGCCCATCTTATGTTCTAAGGGTGAAAGGGATGTGGCAGTGCATGACACTGCTCAGATTCATTCAGAAGCTGATGCAAAGATCCCTTCACTGACCTGATCTCTACCCTCTCCTCATCCTTTGCTCCTTCACAGAGAAGCTTGGCCTTCTGAAATATCTTCTCAATCTCCTTGTTTCTCATTCAGTATGGATATGTTGATCCCCACACAGTCAGCTCACAGTGCTCTCTGAAAATTCAGTAAGACACTGTCCCACATATTTAGGAGGGCTCACACAAATACATGCAAAGGCATCTTACTGTCCTACAGACTTTTGTTGTGAGGTCTGCAGAACACAGATGAGACAGGAGGCTACATCAAAGCCTTTCTTTTTCCTTCCATTCTTTATTGTCTTCCAGATCTCCAAGTTGGGGTACTGTGGATTTCACAGTGCTTAAAATCAGAAGTTAACTGTCTTTGTGGTCAGCACATAGACATCACCTTATCACACCAGTGATAACCCACTGCTAGATGTGTCAGTTCATTGTGATGAACCTGAACTGAACAGCACTCCTGTGAAGTGCCCGTGTCCCATCCATACAACATTTACACCAGTGTATTTTTGTTCCCTAGGGAGCAGAGTGCATTTTCACTAGGGAGCCATCCTGGTTTGAGCCTTTGGGCATCCACCACGTGGGTGGTGCAGGAGGAGTCCTGTGCTGATCTAACAGTCCCCATCTGCCGCACAAGAACAGCACCAGCAGCACAGGAGAGAGCAAAGCAGGATAGTTTGCTTCAAAGCATTCCTAGACTGCCGACCCATGCACATCAGTTACTCAGCTGGGATGGCAAGGGGGCTTACCAGCCTTAGGTGAAGCCCAAGTCTGTGTCTTTAAAATTTTAAAATGAATAGTTTGCTTTAAACTTATCACATGAAAATGTGACCTTAAACTCCTATCACGCTGGTAGTCGTGACACATGAGGTGGAGATTGTCTCATTTGATACAAGGAGCCCCAGATTAACTGCATTCACAACCTTTGTGTTTGCTATGGCCATCGTGGGTCTTCCTTGCCTCCTGGCTTCGCAGCCCCGCCTTGGAGCACCACACCAGCAACTCTGAAACCACGTGCCTTTGACAACACCACAAACTTGGTTTATGGGCACCAATAATAAACCATCTAACTCCTAGTGATTAATAGCATTTGGTTGTCTAGCCACACCTCCTTTCTGAAGTATTTCTACCTAAGAGGGGAGTATAAATCTTACGGATTTATCTGTTTATAAAAGGATATATTTTCTATGGAGTATTTTTACTATCAACTTCAGCATTTCTTAAAGTCTTCTTGCATTACAGTTGCTTATATATTGTCTTCTAAAAACAGCTCCTCATGTTTTAACCTCCTCCCCTAATGATTAACCCATTTCCCACTTGAATGTTCATCTCCTCAGCTGCCTCTCCCCTGCAATCCAGACTTCATCCACAACTTGGCCACTACATTTCGCAAGCAACACTTTACAGTCCTACAACACCACAATGGTTGTCCTTTGAATTGACATTTAACAATTTGGAGGAACTACTGCTATGACATCTATAGCACTGCCAACTAGGAAATAGCACAGGACTAGTAAATACCATGACAGGGTAAGAAGATTTGAATAGTATCCACCCAGCACTATGGTGTTTGAGAAAAGAGCTAATCCATTCACTGAGAGAAGGTGGGAAGGCAAGTATTAAAAATAACTTTTGCCATTAGTACAAGAAAAGGCTTGGTATAACTTCTGTTTAGCCAAGTGAACAATTTCATGGAAAGCTAAAAAAAAACATCTCCCAGTCATAGAGTCACTTCTGAGTCTCATTAAAAGTAATTACACATGAACAGTTAAAGGAGACTACGTGAACAAGTTACCGGAATGGGTGGCCAGTAACCTCCTCTTAGGAGATGAGTAGCAGCTGTAAAAGGGGCTAACAGTTCCAACTGACAGACTTCAGCAATGCAGGAAGTTAGCCAGAAAATCTCAGCATAAAGAAAAGTGTCCAACACACAATGCTCAGCTCACTCTTAATACATTTTTTGTTTCACATTTAAAGAACTTCAGCCAAGTCTGTTTTGGGACCAGAACACATGATGGAAGCCCACTTCTTAACTTAGGGTTCAAGAGTTAGAACTCTAGAGCCATCATTAGTAAAACAGCTTGCCTGTACATTTTCAAGAGCATGGCTTGAATGTTTGAACTTGATTTTAAAAAGATACATTTCAGAACCTTTGTGAGCTACACACACCACATTCATAACTACTAAGACTGCCCAGTTAACTTCAACCCAAACATGAACAAAATCCAGCACCTCCTAAAGAAAATAACCAGTGCAACATACACACTACTTCTCGCCCAGTATCATCTGCCTGATGCACCATACCAAAACGAAGACTCACTTTGTTCCTAGAAATAACAAAGGTTAATTATACTCTTCCAACGAGGTCTCAAAGACTACTCCAAGTGAAATGAGACCTCTGCAAGTAAAACTCAAGTGCTGTCCTACTGGACATGAGTCTAAGCAGCCATGGGATGACATCTCCACCCCTGAAACAGAGCAGGCTTATGGATCCTTTAAAGCTGGATAAAGCATTTAAGGACTTATAGGAGGGACGGCTTTTACTGCTCTTATTGCTCTTGATCTGAGAGAAACAATCCACTAATTTATATAATGGGCCTTCTCTTGTAGCATAAGATGGACTAGTTTATATTCCTAGAATACTACAAGAGACTTCTTGAAAGTGTTAGGACAGGCTAATTAAATAAGTTAAAAAGACAAGCTGGCCCTGCAGTGCCAGTCAGAAACTGCTGCTTGAACAAAATATGCTCACATTTGGTTTTTTATGCTTTTTGCAGCATCATCTCTGGACACCACTGGAGTGAGCTTCACAACTGGCTCTGAACAACAGCCTGTACTAATCTCCTCCGAGAACCTTCAATGCTGATGAGGAATACAGTGTTAATTACAAGATCCCACCCCATCTGAAAAATCACAGAACTGGCAGTGGCAAATTTTTCACATTGAGATGTCTGCTTCTGCTACGAAGAAGGGACCGAAGCCTGCAAAGCCCCTGCCTGTGCACAGGTCTGTATCAGAGCATTGAAAAGATTTTGTGAGTAAAGCAACTTGCACACAGAAAAAAAACTGTTTTAGAGAGGCATTACTTGGGCAAGAGGTGAGCACAACTGTTTGTCGTTAGTACAAAACCACAACAGGGACCCATCAGTGTCTTCAGTCTCAGAACCAGGGAACTGGAACAAGAAGAACTCGGGCACCAGTAGTACCTTTCTATTATTAATACTGGATCCTCTGGAGGCAGGAGAAAGTTCAGTGAAGGTAACTTGCACAATAAACTGAAAACAACTGTTTTCAGTGACTAGAAAGAGATGGCATCCGAAATGAAAAAAGTATTCAGAATTTGTTTCAGGAATGGAAATCCAGTTTCTCACAAGCCTTCCTGTTCTTCAGTATTCCCTCAAGTCACAGAAGGCAAAGGTTATGGCACAAAGCAAGCCACAGATTTCTGGTGTTACATTCAAGTAGAAGGGAAAGTCACATCATTGTACTCTCTCCTGCTGCATTCTAACACTCTTCTCTGCACCTAGAGGCAGCCTGCTCTCTGGGAAGACCTTGCAAACCATGCTTCAGAGTAAATGAAGAATTTAAGAGTCTCCCCACTTTCACTAAACATGCCATTTTCCGTGGGAGACAGAGATATAATGAATTTTGGGTTGTTCTGAACTATCAACTTTAGGTAACCAACCATCCTCAATCATTCAGCTGCCTCTTGTGATCAGGAGACAGATTCATGCATCATTAGTCTTTGGTAGCTTCTATAGAGTCTGCAGATCTTGTTTGAACCCAGGCACAGCACCTTGTGAATACGTTCACTATGCAGTAGATCAAATACAGCTTTTGGAATTGC